TACGTCGGACGTTCAGCGCCGCCTTCCTGTAAGCCTAGAAGTTTGACAATGGCGTTTGGAACGTCTGTGGAATCATGCTCGACGTTCCAAACGCCATTGTCAAACTTCTAGGCTTACAGGAAGGCGGCGCTGAACGTCCGACGTATACGTTTTCGCGATGAAAACGTCGGCCGCAACCTCGCTATTATTTACTGTTAAACTAATATCATTAGCCATTAAGTTGCCAGTTGGATATGTATTTTATCCATTTGTGTTTTACTATCTTGATTGAAAATTAAGTAATAGTCTATTGTATAAAAAAATCTTTCTTAAAACTTTTAGAAAATTATAATGTTTAATTGTTTTTTTTTATCAATATATTTATACTGTATTATGAATGTGGGTCTTTATACTGTATTATGTAATTAGGCTGTGTCAATATCAGCATTCTATGTTAATATTGATATTGATATAGCCTAATTTACCCCAGAAAACAATTTTTATTTTATTCCATAAAAATTGTTTTCTGTTAATCTTTGTAATATTATCTGTAAAGCCAGTATAATAAGTCCTGATAATAGAAGATACGAATTTATAGTCGAAAATTTACATATTAATAAGAAAAAAAGGACATTGAGGCAATTTAATTAAGTAAAAGAACTAATCTTATAAATCATCAAACCTTATTATTGAGTAGACATGGAGATGATCTATGTTTAAATCAAAAATACTAGTCAAATTAAATAAAATTTTTCTGCTTTATAATGTTAGCTATTTTATTATTTTTTTAAAAATTCTGTTATTGCTCAACATTCCTTCTACTATGGAACAAATTCAAACAGTTTAGTAGAGTAGTTGTATAGCAAAAACAAAATTCTAATTCTGTAATTATTTTAGTCATAATTTATGATACTTTTATGAATTAGAATTAATTTTATTATAATAATCAAAATTATGGTTTTAGATAATTTTAAATATTTATTGTTTTTTTTCTTATATAAATTGGTCTTGAAATAATTTCATTATAAAACAAAATTGAAGAATCATCATGCTTTGATGTTAAATAAAGAATCTATAATATGTGATTTTTAGTAAAATAAATAATTGTTTTATGTTATTCTTATTCTTTGACATTTCAATAACAAAAAGACAAAAACAAGGATCTAGTATAAACAAACAAAATGAAACAAACAATATAGAACAAATATAAACTGACTGGATAAAACTGCTTATGGTCTGCTGCTAATGCAAATAGAAATTGCTTTACTGTAATTGAAAAATTTATGATGAAGATCAGTAGAAAAGTTATTTTATTCAAAATTTATTATTTCAGATTTTATTTCATTAAACACTGAAACAATAAATTTTGTTTTGTTTGTTTTGAAATAATAAAAATATGTTTATTAATTTAATTTTTATTAAATATATAATGTGTGAATTTAAATTTAATTTAGAAAATATTACTTTTGTTTCTTTCAAGGATGGTCTTCTGTCTTTTTCTACAGCTTTCAAATTAAAATCTGGTTCATCCTTCGGATCTTTCCATTTAGCATATTGTCTACATAAAACATACAAATCTTTAATTATTTATTCCACATAAAGTGCAATCAAATACTATTTTCATAATAACAATTAAAAAAAATAGAAAGACTAAAATCATTGTTTTCTGAAAAAATTATTGTATAAGATATATAAATATACATTTATATANGTTTCATTAATTATTTAATATTTGAAAATAATGGTTTATTCATTTTAAAAAATATGTAATTCTGATTTAATTTTTTAAATACTGGATTTAAAATTTTTCACTATTGAATTTAATATTGAATATTCCACTATTCTATACTTTTATCAGAATAACAATTTTTCTTCCATGTACTAGATTTTTCTAAATAAAACAAGCATTATAAAAGGTTAAAGATTTTAAAAATGACAAAACTTCCATCTAGACTAATTCTTTGATATTTTAAGTGTAATATAATATACAACTATTCCACAAAACAGATGTTGCACTTTGATCTTAACCAAATTGTTGATTATCAATACAGTAATTAATATGAAAGAAATCAAAATTTTTCTCTATAGTTGTTATAATTCATTAAATTTAACACTAAAATTATATATATAAAGAAAAATAAACAAACAAATTATATATGTATATGCTCATAGTATATAGATATCATTGCTTGTTTTTTTGAAAAATGAATTATATAAATCCAAGATTTACTAAGTCCAAACATTAACAGAAAATTCTATATAATTGGCATATGTTTTATTTGATCTTTAAATACAACTACAGTTATAAATTTTCTGTTGTAGTTAGATCAAAACAATAAAATCATTATTAATAATATATTCTATAATTTAATTTCATACTATATATCAGTGTCTCTCAAGTGGAAGTTTAAATTAAGAATCAGCAAGTTTTGGATGAATTTTGAGAAGGATTGTTGTTGGAATAGGATGATTACTCTGGATTCTATGCATTTACATCAAAATATATGATATTTTCATTTAATTTGTTTAATAATGAGCATAGAGTATCAATTTCTTATTTCTGTATTTTAGTAAGTATTTAATTCATAATTTCAAGAGTTTATATTTTATTACACTTATCTAGTTTAGTCCTTTTCTGTGTAATTTTTTCTTCTATTGATAAGATAATTTTAGGAAGTAACTATAGTATTAGTGACACTTCCTATAAATTTCCATTTCCAAAACAAAAGTTGAGAAACAGCATTGTGTATTACACAAAGTTAGTCTAAATTTAATATAAAAATAAATAAATAAAACACACCTTCTCTTAAGCATTGCACGGAAATCCATACCACTTTCATCTGCAATTGAATGTATTTTCATACATTGCATTTACTGTTAACAAATTTCATTCTTTAATGATATTATAATTGAACCAAATCTTACCACTAACAAAAAGTGAAACTTCAATACTATCTTCACCAACACTATTATAAGCAACAATTTTATATTTTCCTTCATCTGCAGACTTAGCTTTCCTTATGCATAAACACACAGTATTTGTTTCACCATCTGTAACAACTGTATAGCGTCCCCCTTCAAAAAATTCAGCAATTCCTTTATAATATTTAAATTTTGGTGCTGGATTTCCTTCCACTTGAAATGATATATATGCAGTATTTCCTGTTAATCAGAAAACAATATGGGTAAGTTATTTAAATTTTAATTCTTACTATACTAACTGTTTACAATTTACAGTATTTATAAATGTTATTCCTATTCATTTATTTTTAGAAAATATTAAGACTATGTAAAACTACTTAAAGCCATTGTCTAAACATGCTAGAAAACAATCTACAATTATTATTTAAATGTACATATTATTCTTGATAACAATTTAAAACTAATTTATTTAATTTCTTAATTTAAAACTTAATACAGATATATGAAACAAATAATGTAACACCCTATGTTTTTTCTGCAATAAAAAAAATCAAATGCATTCAATACAACTGATTTAACATGCTTACTATATAGTGAATTTTTTGATTTTCCCCTGAAATTTATAAACTATTTGTCAGATGGTGTACATTCAAAATTGGTTTTAGAGCACAAAGATGATATTTAAGATGAGTTTGATTATAATAGGTCCTTTTTTGTGTAACTTATACAGTACATGATAGACTATTATTATATTCTTTAAATTTCACTTGTCATGTAATATCTGTGACTCCTATCATGTCTCCACTTTGTTATAGTGGGGGCTTGGTGATCTGTGCTGAAGTGTCTTGATGGAGTTTTCTCATCTGAGTGATTTAGCTGGGTCCAACTAAGAGGGACACCAGAAAATGCAAAGGTAGAAGATACTAAGCCAAGGGTTGGATGGTACCTGGATAGTAAATACCCTTGAACATCCCCTAGGGGCATCAGGTGACACTCCATTGTATTCAGCCTTGCATCTGCATTGGGGCTCCACAGATGTCAACAGTAAATTTCTTCTTTACAAGCCACACATTGTTGATTCTAAAAATGAATGTGAGGTTAGAAGTTCTCCAACAGACAGCTGCTGCTTTTGAGCATGGTAGTAGGTCAGCTGTGGCTTGTTCAAGGTTGACAGCTTTAGGGCTTAATAGCAAACTTGCTACTGCTGGCTCACTGTCAGTGGCTTCAGAGCCCAATATCAGGCCCACTGCTGCTGACTCACAGAGAGCTCCATCATAACATGAAGTGCTCCCACAAAGAATAAATCACAGTTATATAATGATAAAAGGCATTTACGTAGCAGGATGCAGGAGCCGAAGTCTTTAGGGGTCAAGTTAGGAGCTTGTCTAATTTAAGTGGTACTCTTTATTAACATTCATCTAATAAGATCCATATATTTGCATCTTTGCCAGTAAATGAATTCAAATATTCCACAACTCAGAGATCTGGACAAGTTGTTGTGTGCATAATGGTTGATGTTAATGGCATTAAGGAGATTTTAGTCTCCTCTACCTATTTTTCTTATGATTCTAATAAACTTTCTCCTTCTGGTGAGGTCAGATCTGTGGTAGAGTTTTCTACCATAATGTGATAAGTGGTAGAATTTTCTACCACTTATCACATTCTTCTTATAATTGATTGTGATATGAATGCCCACAACAGTGTTTGGAGATACAGGGATAACAATTCCAGAGGAGATTATCCTCTAAACTTTTTGGTGGGCACAGATCTTATAATTTTAAGTCTTACTTTTAGACATATGGAAATTTTGGACCTTACTCTGATTTAGGCAGCAGACTCAATTTATTTCTAGATTAAATACTGTCAGACATATTGTTCTACGGATAGACACAATGAAGGAAGACAATTTTTTTAAGGATTTCAACAAAATATTATCTTGTTCTCTTCATGAAATTTGTATAGACAGGAGTACATGTAAACAAAACAGAATGTACTAAGAAACCATAAAATAAACTTCAGTATGTGTTTACTGATGGTTGTTACCTTGATTTATGTTTAACAGGCATTACTGATCTTCTCTCCTGCTCACTTTGACTGGCATAGGACCTGGATGTCCTTTTGTTCACATAATATAATCTGGTTTATAGACAGATCCAAAAATGGTAACAGCATGGATGCTGGCATTTGTGGGAAATGATCAGATAGGGGCATTTTTGTTCCACTGGGTATGTTCCTCTCTATGCTTCAAGCAGAGTCAGTCATTATTATTTGGTGTGTTTGCACTATTTTATATTAGCAGTCCTGTTAATAATATTATCTGCAGCCAATATTGAAATATAATTTTTATATAACAACTAGCTGCAAGGACCCGCTTCGCTGGGTTTTTATTTGTTCGNTGTCTGCCTTTGTGGTGAATTCTAATTTAGCACACTTTCACACTATAAACAAAAACAAGCGCAGTGCAAGTCAAAACACGTCGCGTTATTAACGCAAAGCGTCAACTATTGGTCCAAGGTCACACGCACCGGCGCCGACTGGTACGAAAGTTGAGATCCGTATCCGTATCCGCGGATCTAGACTCTAATGATCCGTATGTGTATCCGCGGATCTAGACTAATGATCCCTATCCGTATCCGCGGATCTAGACTCTAATGATCCGTATCCGTATCCATATCCGCGGATATACATATTTAACGATCCGGCACATCACTAGTATATATACAGTAAGACCCTGCTTAATGCAGGGGATGCATTTCTAGACAACAAAGCGCTAAGTGAAACTGTGTTAAACGAGGTCATTTTAACATAGAGTAAATAGGGATAGGGGAACACGCAACCAAAAGTAAACAAATTTTACTTCAATTTCAAGTTATTTATTTTTATATTAATTTGTATAATAATATATGTTAAATAACACATAAACATATGCACACAGAAATGTAAAGTTCAATTTTTGTGACGAAGGTCCTGACTTTTCTGAAATTCTTGTTCTTTTGCAATAAAGTCGTGAAGTTTCATTTGTCACTTTTTCTTTCCTTAAGCAAATGTCGGTAGCAGAAGATTGCATCCAAAATGTCTCATTTTGCTTTTGCACTCCTTTCAAAATCTGGATCATTCGCTACAATTTGATCAATGATTTTGGTTATCTTACCAAACTTTTACTAAGGAAGTTTGTAGAGAAATTTTTTGGGTTCTTCATTTTCAGAATCTCTATTTTCCAGTTCCACATGAATTCCATGTTCTGCCAGTTCTTGGAAGGTCGTCGTTGGTAAGGCTCTCACCAGAAACCTGCTGTAATTCCTCAATATCCTGCTCGTCTATATCTCCTAGTCCTGCTATATCGATTAGGTTGAGTTTGGTCAACCTAACAATACAGTGATAGGCTCTTCTTGTTGAGAATTCTTGGATACCTTCAGCCATAACTTCTTCCACACTTCATTCATGCATTTATCAGTTAATTCTTGCCAAGCAGAGTCGATATTTTCTATGGCATCCATGATGTTATATTTTTTCCAAAATTGCACCAAACAAACATAGATTTAAAGAAAGTACGCCTTTCTGCCATTTTTTGCTGATTGGTTTGTGTTCACAAATAATTGTATTATATACGAATCAATGAAATGCAGTGATAATTTAAATCAGCATAAATTTTGAGCTTTTTTTTAGGCTTCGAGCAGACCGCGTTATATTGAATCAGCATTAAGTTAGGCAGCATTAAGCAGGGTCTTACTATATTTATTATTGTTATTATTATTGTGTTGTTGAGTGTATGGCATACATACTATTACCTAATTCTAAGTCAAGACCAAAGCTAAGACATAACTACAGAAAAAATATTTTGTTATATGCTGTCTGTGTATATGTCTGTGTTTAAGAATTTTCTATGTGGCATGTATTTAACATGGCAGCCTTATATAGTGTGATGTATGTGCTTTTGTAAACCCCAATATTTCAAGAATTTTGTATAATGTATGTGCTATGATACTGTGCAAAAAAAGATTACTGGTACAATAAATACCTTATAATAGATGCTTTATTTCATAGACAAGTTCTGAATATTTACTAATTTTTTAGTATATGTATATATGTTGTGAGTGTTTGGTACAGCTTTGTCTATGATGTATGTGATTTTTTTTTATTTGTCAATGAATGTGATGTCTGGTCTGTTGTGATGGATTGTTTTGTCTATGATTATGGCTTGGTCATAATATACTTTGTATGTATTGTTTTATATGACAATCTGAGGTGTGTAGAAGTTTATGTTTGTGTGCAAGCTTTTGATGTATTATATTTGCTATTTAGTTACATTGATATAAGTAGGTATTTTCAGCTTGTGTTAAAAACTTGCAACTTGAAATGATGTGTTGTATAGTCTCATACAGAATGTGGCATTATTCTTTTAAACTTTCTGTAGTTTCTTCTATTTATGACCTAGTTTTGTATGGTGATCAAGAACCTTTCTGTCTTTCCAAAGAGGCACCTGGAGTAAGCCAGCTGTCAGCATGATCTTGGCTGAGGTCATTGGATGCTTACCATGGAGCTCCTTCTGATACCAAGATTGCTTGATAATCTCAGTGGATTTTGTATAGTGTTGTGTAAGTTTTATACTGTTTTTGTCTGCAAGAATTACAGCTTTGTGTAATTGTGATGTTTTTGTTTTTATAGAAAAAACTCTTGCAATGTCTGTTTGTAGTGCAGATTTAAAATATCCATGAGGCCTTTCCTCCCTCTTTATGAAGAAGAATCATCTTTGTATAGATGACTTAAGATGATGTTTGTTGTGTTTTGTTAATGTTGTTTGTGCTTTCTTTAGAAGCTGCTCTAGTTGTGTGTGTGTGTGTGTGTCCAATGTACTGTATAACTCTAAATGAATACATCAATACTAGAATGACATATGTGTTATATTTAAATGTGTGTTTGTATTGAATTGTGTTATAAGTATTGAATTTAATCTACTGTTGTATTGTTTTGTTAGTCTTTATTTTATTTGTGCACATTCTGCAGGTTTGGCAAGTTGTAATCCTAAATATAATGTCTTCCAAAAAGAATGCTATTAATTTTAATTATTGTAATTATGTTAATTATTAATTGATAAATGTTATAAAAAATATATTAAAAGATTGGAAAACTGTCCAAGTTTCACATTTGCCCATTACAATTTCTCAATATGTCTTATGTCACATGGAACACATCTAATCAATACTCTAATTTTTCCTACATTACAGCATATTTGTTGTCAT